CAGGGAAACTAAGACAAGACAGATTAAAAGCAATTTTTTTTTTTCCAAAGTCAGATGCCTAACGTTAAGCACCTAAATCTGTTTTTTGAAACTGGTGTGTACGTTCCCAGAGCCAATATAAACTGGCTGCTTGGGGCCTCTGAAATGTATGCCACATAGTCTGACACATAAATTTGGAATGATGAGTTTAATTAGAGTGACCTAAGTTTAAAAACTTTCTCTAAGCAATTCACCAGTGATTACAGAAAAAAACAAATCCCGCATCTCCTGTCTCCCTATTTCTATGCTTTAACCACAAGAACATGCAAAATATCCCCTAACTCCAGCACTTCTGAAAAATATGTTCCCCAAGCTAACACTAACTTTCAATAGTTAGTGCAAAGAAAGCCAAAATCCGTTTATCTTAACATTCATGATATTTCTAAAGCAACAACCTGGTGCAAAATAATGGAGAAAGAAGCTGATTTGAAAATATTGCCTGAACAACCATTTATAATAATGAATGAGCTTTAAAAACCTTCTGTGTTAGAGCTGAGAATATAGAGGTGAAAGCATACAATACTTTATCATCATTCTCTTTAGATCAAAAAAAAGTACAACTTCATTTAAGTATTTAAGTATTAAGAATACGATATTGACCCAGTAAGTTGATGGATTTAGAACACTCTATTGTAATTTTCTGTATTTAAATATATTTACCATTTTTTATTAAGCTGTCCTCCAAACATCTGGAAATTTTCATTAAAAAAAAAAATCTGTCTTTTTAACAAGCAGTAGAATAGCCAAAGCTTTTTCTTGCCAATCAAAACATTCCCAAATACTGATTCAATTTTTCCAAAATTTTGTAAATATTTTTGAAAAATCCTCATGGTCTTTTTTACTTTTTTTTTTAATGGAAAAGTTTGGTTGAAGTAACAGTGCCATTGCAGACACAGAAAGAAAAAGCCGGTTGCTGAGGGAGATATTCAGCTGTCTTAATATGCATTAACCATTCTCTTTCTGTATTCCCCTTCATTCAGTCTGTATTTTTTCACTTCTGCAGCAGATAGGTGCCTCCTAGAACAAACGGCCTGATTCATGTCGGGAGTAGCTCCATCCCTATGCAGGGGATTTGGTGAGATGCTATGGAAAAATAGCTTGTGAACACCTAATTAAAGACTAGAATAATGCAAGCATTAAGTAAACTTTACTCAGCACAGGAGATTACGTTAAGATGGCACAGCTTATTCAAAAAATTTGTACCAAATTCTTACCAATCTTTATATCCTTCACCTTGCCATTTTGTGGCTACCTTTTGTCTCATTTCTGCCACTCCACCCTGAAGGTCCATCCATTTCCTCCGGGATGATATTCCAGTCCTTCCCTCTACAGACAGTGACTCCCAGTTTGTTTCATCAACCCATGTTTTTAGCACACTGTGCCTTCTGATGACAAAGTTATCAATGAAACTATTAAATCAAACACTTTCCAGATGGCCCATGAGGAATGCCACCACTCTTCCCTCCAGCTGAACCCTTGCCCTTTCAGGCTGCAGCACCGTTGTCTCTTCATTAACCTGTTCCTTACCACTTGACAGTCCTCCTATAAATCCCCATCTCGTTCAGGTTATTTCACAGTCTCCCACACAGCTCAATAGCACTGAAGCCCTGCTGCATGAAATCTCTACGCTTTACTTGCTTGGAAAAGAAATGATCTTGTCAAAGAGAGATATCAGTTAAGTCTGGTACATTTTACATTTGATAAACTCCTGCTGCCTTTTTTCCCTATTTTCTATGTGCCTTTCTATCTCTATTCTCTCCCTTAAGACTTGTTCTAAATCCTTGCATACTACTGAGGTGATACTAATGAGCTGCCCAGATTTTTTTTTCCGTTCCTTCAACAGAAGGTGTTACATGCCCTATCCCCCAGTCATAAAAACCCTTGCGACCAGACTTGCAATTTCCTGTGCCAGTTCTTGAACTACCATGAGATGGACATTATCCAGTCACTCTTCCACTGCAAACACTTTCATTTGCACTTCTGAACCGTTATTCCTGTCTACCTTTGTCTCCATAATCTGCTTTATAAAATATAGCCTTATTATAAAATGGAAGTAAAGCATTACTTAGTTTGGAAGTCAGAGTTACCTTTATCTTCATTCCCTCCTTATTTGACTGTGGGGAAGGGGTATTTTTGACCCAGCTTCTAACTAGACCCAAGAAGTACATTCATTCTGGATACAGTCTTGTCTCTAGTGACAGATTCCAACATCTGTCTTTAAAGAGTTCATATAAACTGTTGATGGCAATGACTATAGCTTGCATTATGTTATTTGGCAGGAAGGTTGCAATACTTATGCATGTTCAAATTTGAAGCTTCTTTGCTCTGGAACTGCACTGGCCGATACAATGGTAATCATCTAAAAATAACATTTGGTCCCAAAGAGAAAGGAAAACCACTCCAACATTGATTTCAGCTTCCAATATATTTTTGTCATTCTGAGTACCCATCTCCGTAAAAATAGACCAGAAACCATTTCAATGAATAGCTACCTCATGCACTGTAGTGTTCTCAGAAAAGCGCAGTCTGGAACCCACGGCAGAATAGCCCCAGCTGGGCTGATGTGCCTGGGACCAAATCTCGCATTTCTGTGCAGCACTTCACCCCCTACCAGCTCACCCGGAGCCAGCACGGCGTGCTGTAGCTACATCCTATGGTTCCTGCAAGCAGTGTAGCCCCATTCCAGTCACCACTTGGCAAACAAAACAAGCGCACATAGAAAATAGGGGAAAAGTAGGGAGAGTTTAATGTTTGTTTTATGTTTCTCACTGGGAGAGCCATAAGGACTATACATTAAATCCCTGAAGCCCTCTTCCAAATCCTTCTGCTTGAACGTATATGGAAGATCCTCCCTTCTCTGTCTCAAGCTCTTTCCATCTTCACCATGCCAAAACCCCAGATCAAGTCTCATTCAAGGAATAACACAAGGAGCAATTTCAATGTATTTAATATCTGTAATCAAGTAACACTGTGCTCAGTATATTCCAGAGCTTGGGAATGCTTACGAAGTTGCCACATACCTTTCAGTGCGCTGCAGAACTCTGCTTTGGACTGCCAAAGAAACTGGAGGTTCTTGCCATAAAACTGAGGTCCAGTGTGTCACTGAGCGCACATTGTTTTGTCTAATTTGAATCTGGAAAAAAATTCTATGCTTTTTCAGAACTGGTGAGTAACCATTGAGAGACCGGATTTGTGTCTCCATGTTAGTGCTGAGAGATTTTCAGTGGGTTTGATTCTCTAAGAACCTTCTGCCCCACGATACCACCTCCTCTCCTAATTTCGGTACATTAAATTTAATTTAAAAACACCTGAGGTACAGGACACTTTTCTTCCTCACATCACTCCTCTGAGTGACCGATTGCTTTTAGCTTCTGTAAGGGTTTTATGAAAGACTGAGAAAGCAGACATCCCCATGACAATCTCTGTAATGCATTGGTCAAAATGGCATATTTTTAGCCAATGCCCAGAATGTTCTATATTTAAACTAAATTGTATGTCTGTGAACTATATTACCATGACAGTTGCCTAACTTGGCAGTGAAGTGATTGTGGTCCGAGGTGCTACATGCAGAAGCAGAGCTGGCAGACAGACCTGGCATCAGGACCTCCTTGGTACAAGGCACTCTGGAGAGCTCCAGGGCTTCTGAGGGCGTTAGCAACACACGGGCACGAGAAATGCCCTGTGGAGTCAGACCAGCCACCTGTCTAGGCCTACAGCAGCAGAAGGAGATGCTATGCAGGGGAGCGCTCGAGCCTGGCTGTCTTCTGCAGGTCATTCTTCTCATATACCCCAGCAACCATCACTATCAGGGTTCACGTTTGCCGAGTCCTTTGGTATCCATTTATGGACCTGTTGTCCACGGATTAGCTAAATCCCTTTTTGAATCTGCTGATGCTGTCTGGTCCCTGTCACAGAGTGCCTGCTGTGAAAAGAAGTATTTTCTATAGCCTCTTAAATCAATCTCCTGTGAATTTCACTGAACGCCTGCATGTCTCAGATTGCAGGATTTGGTGACAAAACAGTTCTGCATTCATCTTACCCACTGCCTTCAGAATTTTTTTAACTTTGATCATATCCCCCTCTGCTCTCTTCTCTCCAAACTGAAGAGTCCTAGATGTTTTAGTCTCCCTCCCTTAATCATCCCTAATCATGCCATCATTTAATGATTTCAGTTGCCTTTCTCTGCATCTTTTCTAACTTCACTACGTCCTTCTTGATCTGTGGAGACCAGAGCTACACACCATACTTGGGTTGTGGGCATCAAGGGGCGCTTTGGTCAGAATGAAAAAGCAAGCTGATAGGACAGACATGTGGGGTACAGTAGCTGTTTTAAGTATGTGTGCAAATATAAATGCACTAACACATCTAGCAGAGCTTACTCAATTCCTGTTGTTGCAATTATGCAACACATCACTCTTTTTGGATTGATAATGTACACCTCTGTATTATGATCTAAATAGCACTAGTGACCAGACAAAGCAAATTTAGTCATTTTAATTCCTTGAGGTCGCCTCGAAGAGTCTCTCTAATTAGAAACAATGAACAGGCAGCACTCTTTATATTAGAAAAAAAAGAGACAGGTAATAAACGCGCATACAAAGATCCCTAGCAAAACTGACTTATTAAAAGGTATAGTTAAGCCTGGCTTGCATATGTTATCAAGCAGTGACAAGCGATCAGAAAATGGTTCTAAGCTGGCAAGGAGGGAGTCTCCTATTTTTCGTTGAAATGGAGAGAAACCCAATAAAGGAAACTTTCTGGCAAGGAAGCGATAAAGCCCTGCGCGTTTCTGGAAATCCTCCGGGGGTGTGGGAGCTGTACCCCAACAGCCCGTGGCTGCGCCAGCAGAGGCAGTGCCCAAGGAGACTCCCCCTCCCGCGATGCCCCTCATCTCCCCTCACCAGTACCTCTCCTGAGGGTGCAGGCGGGGGCTGCAGCACCAGCAGGGGTACAAGCTGAGCTGTCAGTCAGGGACGTCCGCGCGGTTGAGAAGCAACCTAACTACAACAACCACGAGGCAATAGAGGAGTATATCCACATCAAAACTTTTTTTTTTTTGGCAGTCCATTTTTTTGTGGAATACTGATATTTTCCAGCAGACAGTTTTCTTGGAAATAGGTGTTTGGTTGAAAACGCAATTCTCTGCCAGAAAGCAGGTTTCGTGAAGAATATTGACAGACCTTCTTCCAATTTCCTGCTCAGAAAAGCCTTTATCTGGCCTCTGGTCCCTCTCTTGCTGTCCCTGGACTCACGTACCCCAGTAACTTGTGACTTGCAGAGAGCGACCTCCCACGCTGATTTCTAGCTTCTGTCCTGTCAGCAGAGAGAAAAAGAGAACTCAAGGAAGGCAGAATCCTTAAGAAAGATACAACAAAGAATGAACAGAGACAGGCAACTAACAAGTGAAATACTATAAAATGATATTGTCAGATGTTCTCAAAAATGACCCACAGTGGAGATTTGGCCAGTCATACAGAGCTGGCGCTTCTTATTCCCAGCTATTAAACTGTTATGAAGCTAAAATTGCATGAAATAGTTTCCTAACTTTACTTTTCCATGTATATAATAGCCATCCACACCACAAGGGTGTTTCACAACTGCAGAATGGGAAGAGGAGATATACACAAGACACTCTCTATTAAAATGTGATCCATGCTATGAAAAACAAGTGAAAATTCTGGATCTGACCTAACTGTGAAGTAATTTCAAGTGATAATAAGATACTAACGATGAATTTGTTAAATCTGGAGTACATGTGGAACTCATCTGAAGTGTACAGCAGAAAAAAATAAATACACTAAATCCAGAAGTGATGCAACGTGACATTTTGTCCAGAAGCAAATAGCTAAGGACAGTTTAGCCTGCAATTATATTATTGTATATGTAACCTTGGGAAAGAATTTAAGCGCATGTTAATATTTTTTGTTTATATAATAGTTCAGAATATTTCAGAGCATTCTCCTCCTCTATTTAGAGGCACCAAAAGTCACACTACCAGCTACAGCACAGTGTCTACCAGCCAGAGAAGAAATACACAAATGGTATTTTATAGTCTTTTAGCTTAGGAAAAAAAAAAAAGATCAAAGTTTGGTTTCATATACATGGCAACTATTTTGAATCAATCAACTGTTCTCAATATTCGCACGTTCAAAAAATGGCTAGCTCCGATCCTTACTGTAAATGTTTTATAAATATGTCTGTATCAGGACTAGTTAATCTTCTGAAATCTTTTCCAACTCGGCATTTCTATGATTTCATCCCACCAAGTATGCGTTGCCTTGTTCTGAATCAAGCTCCAGTATGCCCAGACTGTCCTTCACAGGTTCTCTCTAATCTCTTCTTGAAAGATCTCAGTGACAGCGATTCAGGTACTTCCCAATCAAGTCTGTTACAAAACATAAGCCTTCTGGATATGTCTACAAAGTGTCTCTGTTTTCCATTTAATACGTATTTTTCTTTTCTTTTTTTTTCTTTTTTTTTTTGGTAGTTCTTTGCAATTTTCATTACTGGCATTTGCAGACATGATTTTGCAATAATTTATCCCATTCTTAGGCACTGATTCCTCCCCGTTCACTGCATAAGGAACTTAGGTCTTTAACAAGGATTTCTTTGTTCTATTCCCAAAACTAGGAACTTAAGGTCAGGTGTAGAGATGTTGATCATTTAAGAAACATGATGGATCTGGGCATAAGTGCCTCCAGTAACATAAAAGTTATTTCAGAAAAAGGTACAGTTTGAAGTGCAAATAGGAGCATTTCTATGATAAGCCTATGGCTAGACAAGTCTGCAGTGGCTAAAACAGTATAACACTCTGCAGTGGTTAGTTTTTGGAGAAAGCAAGCTAGACGCATCCTCCTCAACATCAATGGCATAGTTTACTGTCGGGCTGCTTGCTGCCGGTTTTGTTTCTAACAGGTTTCGACTTTATATAATCCAAGAACGTTTGCCCACTTCAGTTAACAGAGTGTTCATTTTCATTGAACAGCAGACAGTTGAAATATATGCATACTGCATTTTTCTATTCCTTATTTTTTTCCTCCCTCTCCAGAGCATCATGCCTTTTCTTTCCACTAACAAAAATACTAGAATGTCAGGTAGGAGTTAGGCTACACATTTATTGCCAAACACACTGATAATTCATCAATAAAAGAGGAGGAACAGAGAATTGCAAAGGAGACAGATAATTAGTGACTCTGGAGAACTGTGACAGGAAAAGGTTAGTATTCCAAATTTTCAAGGACTCTTTGGAAAAGCTATTTTAGATGGCCCCATGCAAGGAGAAACCAGGAAGCAGGAGGTGCATGTTACACTGCAGCCTTTCACAACACAACAGCCTAAGGGCAATGAGAAGATTTTCATATTACTGAGGATAAGTGGTCTATGATTCCTATGGTAAAATATTCCATGTTAGGAAAATGACTTCACTTTTTGACCTCTGCATGATTCATATTCTTTCAAGTTAATACTGAAGACAAAACATTTGAAAACAAACAAAGTTTTGATGGATGCTTAGCTGTAAACACAAGACTGTCTGATCAAAAAGGCATTTACCTTAAAAAAGTTAATACATATAGGCATGTAATTGGTATGCTCTTTCATTTACCTTTATTTTCCTACATGTAGTATGGCTGCTGAGAATTAAATGCGGGGTAAACTTTTGGATAGGTTTTCAGGCAAAACCCAGTTTATTCAGTATGCAAGTGGATGGTATGCAATGAACATCAAACCTACTCTAAAACTCTCAGGGAAAATTATCCTTTTAATCTTAATTATTTAACTTATAGCAATTGTTTTGTTAAGTGTGCTTTAGGAACTGAAAGCTTGACCAAAATAAATATTTCTATCGATTTCACAGATCAGGAGATATGTTAACATTTTTACATATTCTTTAAAAACTTGCCATGCCTGTATGGCAGCTGTGCCAGTAAAAATTTCCCAACCAATAGATATTTGATAAGCATAGCCACTGTAAATATATGGTTTCAAATTTTTAAAGGGCATCATGTAAGATAAGCGCTATGCTGCTCCATCACCCTCTGAGAATCTCTCTGTTTTGGAAACATTAACATTTCCTTCCAAAAAAAGAACAGCCCAAAACAAAGACTATTTCCAGTCCATAGGCTGAAAGTTTCAAAACAAGCTGATGCAGCACTGATCAGAACAGACTAAGGAAAGGCAAACAGTAAGTCTGACCGTCACCTATATCAACTCCCTTTTATTCCGATTTGGCATTGTAAAAAAGTCTCTACTGAGATGTAAAGTATATTTCCAACCATATGAAGACCTTTTTACCTTGCCAGAAGAGTACAGAGAGGCCCTGGTGTGAATGAGAAGCAGTCTAGCATTTGTATATGAACTATAACTGTCCCCTTTCTTTTTTCAGCAGATGGGATGGAGCTTCTGAATAATGCTTTAAGATGTCATTTTTCATAACAGGAAGCCTATATGCACAATTATCTTTATATAACTGCTTGTATTTTTATTACTATAGTGTATCTAGGAGTAGGACTCCACATCCCACATGCAAGCACTGATGTTGCATCTTCAGTTACAGCCACTACATGTTCAAAACCAGGCCCAAACCCAGTATTACCCCTGGATCTGTATGATCACTACATCAGAACTGCAAGTCTGGTCTTGAGTGTCATCACCCTAAAATATTTTGTTGCATTACATCTTCATTGGTATCAAAAGTAATATGGATATACCAAAGAGTCCTCCGAGAGGGTGTGAAGATGCTCATGTTTGTTTAACGTTCACAAGCATCGCTTAGTGTGCCCAGGTCTGTAAGACCTGTGAACTCCTCATGGAATTCACAAAGTACAAAGTGCCTTCAATCAGAACATCCACACAGCAAAATGCAGTTTGCGGTGAAGATCCTGCACTAACTCTGAGCAAGCTAAGTCAGGAACTGGAAGCGAGGCAGTCCTGCGAACATAACGCTCCTCCCAGGAAAGCACCTTTCTTCCCCATGGGCAGTGGGATTAGTCCCTCTGGACACAGCTTCTTGCAGGGACCTGGTCCTGGAAGCTGCCTACAGAGACACTCACACTGTCCCATCCCGGTCAGGGCCATAAAGCTCCTTATGGAGCTGGTATTTGCCACACAGACCCAGCCACGGTGCGGTGGACAGACCTTGCACATGTCTAATATGTTAACATTATGATGGGAAAAATTCACCCAATGCCAAGAGCTCCAACAAAACCATTAACACTTCATTTGTGTGCTAAAAGCTCAATAGGGATTTAAATGAATTAGATACTTGTGCATGAGAGAAAATTAACCCTTGCTGAATAAACACTTTTTATTAGTGGGTCAGAATTGGATCTATTGCTTAAGAAGCACCTTTACTCTGACAAAAATTAAATGACTGACATACCTTGTCTTTGAATGTTTCTTTTTTGTGATTTGTTTCTTCTTTTTTGTTTTATGAATGCAGTGTTCCATCAGAGTCTTCTTTTTACTCTGTGTAACAAAAAGAAAGATAACTTTTAAAACCTGAAGAAAGAAATCATCTTTCAAAACACACAAAGGCAAGGCTCTCTCTCTGGTTTAACTTGAAACAGAGAAAATGTATTATAACGGAAGTTATAATACATACAGTCATATTTGATATGACTGTGACACCGAATGGAGTCGGGCTGGCGAGTGATCTTTCTCGTCGTTTTGGCTCTTGCTCACCTTTGGCTATGCGTGTGTGTGCGTATCCACGGTATGCGCAGGTATGTGCGTGCGCTCCAGCTGTATAGGGATGGTTTGTGCTTCATACTGTCCACTCCTCTCCTCGAGCAGTGAGGAATTCAGTGGAATTTTTTGCAGGGATACAAAAATGCTCAGAAAGCACATTTTTTGAAGTCTAGCTCAGTGGTAATTCCACTAAGGCAAATATTTTGTAGAGAAATGGTATCCAAGTATTTCTAGTCAGGTTTCAAATAAAGTCCTAATTGGTTTTCTCTCTTTTTGTCTGGTGCGGCTTCCAGCTCCTATCTTTGTGCATTATTAAGCACTAAACATTTCTTGGCTTAGTGACTAGTTTTTTGTTGTGTGCATTTACAACATGTGTGAAGGAGCCCTCCTTTCAAGAGAAAGATAAAGAAAGCTTGTTAAGGCAGTGGAGAATAAAAATGAATCTGTTTCGTTTATTTTGTAGCTTGTATTTGGAACAAACTGTTGCCTGCTCATTTTAAAATCAGATGATTTGTACCCAGAAATTGCATATGTGCCTTGGCTGCAGTTTTGAATGTTTTCAGAAAGGCCTTCGGATAAAAGGAAGAAAATGACTCCTTTTTTTTTTCTTTGGTGCCGTTGTTTGCTTTGAAGATTTCTTTGGCTTATTTATATTTAATAACAATGGCTAAGATTGGATCATTGAATTGATCATTGGATCAGTCAAATCAAATGGCTAAGAAAGGATCATTTTATTTTATTTTCAGAAATTTACCAACACTATCTAGCTTCAGAAAACATTTATCTGCTTTGTTATACAAGCTCAAGTTTTCACTTAAAAAGGGGGGAGGGGGGAAGGCTGCGTCCTTTCTAAAAGAGATGGAGGGTATCTTATTTCCTGATAAAGCTAAAAATTTGCCTAAATGGTAAAGGTGACACTTTTTTGGAATGCAAAGAAAAGACCTGCCTTTCTGGAGGCACCTTTCAACAACAGATGCTGTGGACCTGTCGAAAACCCCCCTAAAGCATTCCCAGCATAGGTAAAAGCAAGCTGCTGTATCGGGAACATAACCAGTGTTGTAACTATAGCACTTTTTACTAACTGAGGGCCCAGCTTGGTTTTTATTTTTATTTTTGTTCTCCTAAAAACAGTGCAGATAAAGCAGTGAGCTGGAGTGGACTATGAGGTATGCTTTGCCCCTCACCGTGCTGTTAAGCTGCTGCATGGGTCAAATAGCGTGAGTTTAAAATTTCATCCTCCATTCCCGAATGGGCTGAATCTTGTCTGAGCATGGCTTTACGTCTACCCAGGCAACTGCTAGGCTTGGGCTGGGTACAGGCTTGCATGCAGGTTTGAAATACTGTGTGTGCATACTCGAGTGACCAGAAAATCTCTTTGTTCTCAGAAGTTTGGAACCATTTCTGAAAGCATATCTGTTCTGTCCCCCATGAGTGAAAAGGAAACCTATTTCCCTGGATATACACCTAGGGAAGAAGGTGGTGCATGTTTAATTTTTAAAAGTATTTTCTTGGATGTGGAACAAGCAATAGTGTGTGTGAACCAGCACTGAAAATCTAAAGTCCCTCCTGAAACATGAAATATTCACTGTTCTGGCTAAAGCGCTAGTTACTCTCTGTATAATTTGAGTCTATCTTTATTTGAAGGGAAATTCCTTCCAGTAATTTTCCTGGTTAGTTGCTAGACAGAGACGGGGTCCTCTTTCAAAGCACTTGTCTTTAATGCGTATTGGGTTACCCTGAGGTAAAATGGAAACTGTAGATGTTACTCCTGTAAATAAATGTTTACATAATACATTGCACTGAACTTCTCACCATTGCATCCCTAAGAAAAAAAAGGTCACTTTTGACATCAGTAACCTTTAGAGAGCAGTGCATTTGCTACACAGGTAAGGAAAGTCGCTGCCCAGCACATCCCTCCAACTAGATCAAGAAGGTAAGAGAGCTCAAATGTTACTGCTTACAGCTGCCCTGTTCTTGGCATTTTACGTTTTAGAGGCAAGAGTGGGCTTTAGGGTGTGGGTCCTGTAGTCCTGCACACGCTTAATTTTACTCCTGTAAATAATTCCTTTAAATCCCCTGGCACTAGTAACGTATGAAAAGGCAAGTCTTCAATGTATGTCGTGGGATCAGGGCCTCGACTCCTCATTTCTAAATGAGAGATTTCCTTAAAAAACACTCATGGTTACAAAAGATTATTTTTCTGGATTTGTAACCAAGTAAGTATCTCCATCTTCGTTTTACAGCTTTTGCATCAAAACACTGTTGCACAGCACCGAAACCCAACCACCCCTGTTAGCAACCTAAGATAAAACTACTACCTTAATTAAAGTCAATGGCAAAACTCCCACTGGTGTCAGTAGATCCAGGCTTTGGCCCCGAGTTCGGCCTCGGGGGTGTGTAGCCAGAGAGGGAGCTCCATGTTCTCCTGTGGAATCTGTGCTGGGGGCGAAACCTCGTCCCGGCTGCTGCGGGTGTTGGGTTTTGGGCCAGAGGGCGGGACCAAGTACACCAGCTCACGCTTGCTGAGGCAGAAAGGAGCGATCATCGCCCTAAACGTGGTGGTGTGGGGTGCCGTGGAGCAGGAGGTCCTGGTGGTGGTGAAGTGGGTCCTGAGCTGCCTTTGTGTTTGAAATATTGGAGATATTCAAAACCCGTCGGGATGTGATCCTGGGAAATATGCTCTGGGGGACCCTGCTTGAGCAGGGAGGTTGGACTCTGGAGGGACCTCTCCAGAGGTCCCTTCCAACCTCAACCATTCTGTGATTCTGTGAAGTACAGGAGAAGTTTGCCAAGTCTCTTTAATGATCCAGAAACTGATTATGATGTACTAAATTTTGCAAGTTAGCAAATTTGCCCCACATACATGATAGCAAATCAGAATGTAAGATCTCTATCAGCAGCCATTTTTTTTGTTCAGAATTATACAAATTCAATAGCATAAAGGACCCTAGAGAAATCCTTTGGTTACCTGGATGAAACTAATGGGAATATAAAGACATTACTTTTAGATACTGTAGATGGTTCTTCAGTAGAATATTTCTACTCTACCATGCTATAGAGGAGTTGAGAATCATTCCCAGCCTTCAAAAAACATCAGTGCAACCGGAGGGTTAAAGCAAATTCTCCATCCTTGCGCTTGTCCCTACCTCTTTCC